CCCAGATAAGATCTAGGGAGGTCATAAGGTCAAGCCTAATTACCCTAAGAGGACTGTGCCCTCTAAGCTGGGACCTGTTTGTGGCTTTGCCAACAGGTCAGTCCGAGGCTTAACCCTATAGCCACGCCCTACACCCTAATCCTTGCCAATATTTATAATGTCATTACTTTCGATACTGGCATAATTCCTCATTGTTCAGTGTACTCTTCTCAAAAAAAATGAAATGTAGATGATCAAATGTTTCCTGGATATTTTGTTAAAACTGCATACTCATACCTTTTTTTGTCCCTTGTGTTTTAAATTTATTATTTGTTTTTTTCATTCTTTAAAAATAATAACTAAAACTTTCCAAAATCAAACTGTACAGTACTTTCCAAAAAAAGGCATTGTCATAAAGGGTTTTATTGAAATGGTGCTTTTACAGGTAAAAGAAAATAGGATATAACTTTTCAGACTTTGTCCATGCAGACTATACAATATTTAGACCATTCTTTAAAATTATAACTTTACTATGATGCTGTTTAGTTTCAATATGAAGGTCACTGAACATTCCTATCATTCACATGGTGCATCTAGCTAAGGTGTGGGGTTCCTTTGACCTGTAGCAACATTTAAAGTCTCTGCAACTACACAGAGAGCAGTTTCCTCTGAGAGAATTCTAGGAACTAGCAGAGTGACACCTACATATTGTGCAAACATGAAAATACATCACGCGTACTTATCACATCTCCCTGGAGTCAGGAGAGGCCAGCAGGCACCTCATGAGGCCTCTCACTTGAGTTCACCCCTAATTACAAACATCTCCATGCAAGGAGCTTGTATAGACATCTGGCAGCCCACTTTTGCCTCTGCCACCCAATGTATATCTAGATCTACTGGCTTTGATAGCCAATGAGACTTGTATTCATGAGTCCCACAGACCATAGCAACCTAATTTATTAATGGTGCAGGAGCCCCTTCAGAGGCTACAGCAGTACAGAAGGAGCAGGCAAAACATCTCCCCATTTCTCCCTGGAAGGACCCTAACTACATCCTATCCTGGTTGCTGCCTGAGGGTCCAGCTTCTAATCAGCATACATGTAGGTCAAGCATGTCAAACTTGCAGCTGGCAGGCTGCATGCCTCCTTTAGGGAGTAATACATATATTCACATTATTGTACAACCAAGCTATAGAACTTCTTCATCTGGCAAAAGTGCAACTGTACCTGTTACGCAATAATTCCCTCATCACTGGTCCCTGGTAACCATGATTTTATTTTCTGTTTCTATTAATTAAACCAGTCTGGATACATAATATAAGTGGAATCATGTGGTATTTGCATTTTGTCAGTGGCTCACTTCATTTAACACGATATTCTCAGGCTCCATCCATGTTATAGCATGTGTTAGAATTTCCTTCAGTTTAAGGCTGAGTAAAATTGCATTGTATGTAAATACTGCATTTTGTTTATTGATTCTTCCGTCAGTGGGCTCTTATGTTGCTTCCACTTTTGAGTTGTGAACAGTGCTGCTATGAATTTGGATGTGAAAATATTTTATTGAGATCATGATTTTAATTCTTTTGGATATATACCAAAAACTGGAATTGCTGGACCTTAAGGTAATCCTACTCTTATTTTTTGGGAAAATCTCCATTGTTTTCAGTACTTGCTTTTTTTTTTTTTTTTAACAGACTCAATATTTCAATTCCCATGGAAAGATGCATGTTATAT